AACAACTCAGCAAATACTTATACCCTTTTAGGAATTTCCACAAGAACACATGCTCTAGAGCTCAATGAAACCAAAAGATTCATTCTCTTCTCTCAGGGAGCTTATTAGCTGATTCCAGTGTTTTACAAGCACAGTGAAGTAAGCTAACTTGTTCTTGTCCAAGATCAACGTATTAGATCATTAATTTGAATTCTGCTACTAAAATATTGTCTTGCCATGAGTGAACCATTCACACAGGTTTCTCCAAGTGCTTTCAAAAAGTTTTCTCCATGTGCTTTTAAAAAGTTTCTATAGCTCTACTGCTATAAATGAGATGGTTTTAGAGTCCATTAAACATATTCCCTTTTTTTCTTACAGTATACCATTCATTTTGTTAACAATGAATTGCAACATTTCTATTTTTACATACCACGGTATGAAACAAGCTCCTTATTTTGATTACATAATACAAACATATCATCTTCCAAAGTAATAAAGTTGAGATACTGGTCAAAAACCTAGAAAGAAAAGATAAGGTTTACAAATCAATCTTACAATATAGCCATATTGAAAGTAAATTTAGTTTGGTCTAATCTAAAAAAATGAAAAAAAAAATGAAAAATGAAAAAAAAAGAAAAAAAATCATAGTTATTGAGATATTCAATAAGTAAAAAATGTCCTGTGTAACAACCTAATTGAGCAAGAATGAGGAGCCTTTGGGCAATAAATATGAAGGAGGAGAGTAAGATTTTCAGAAAACGAAATTGAAGTAGATATAAGAAATTGTGTTTGGGATGGGAATAGATATCAATTTCAAAGAAAACATAGAATTTTAACAATCATTTTCATTACATTTTCCCAAGAAAGTTACAGTAATTATTTTACACAAAGAACTTTTATAATAAAGTGGGGAAAAGCTTTGCCATTTCTTTGGAAATACAGAGTAGGAGAAAAAATAAGAGAACTATTTGAAATATACTGAATTTAGCTAACCAAATTAAGGCTAGATGAGGTGGTTTGCACCTGTAATCCCAGAGCTTTGGAAGTCTTCCGTAGGAGGACTGCCTGAGGCCAGTAACTTGAGACCAGGGCAGCATAAAAAAAAATTAGCTGGGTGGAATGGCACAAACCCAGGAGTTGAAGGCTGCAGTAAGCAGTGATAGCACCAGTGCATTCTAGTCTGGGTAACAGAGTGAGACACTGTCTCAAAACAATACAAGAAAACAAAAATTGTTCCCATTATTTTATGTGAAGTTAATAAATTTTGAGCACAAACATTAAAGGCTTAAGTCTCAAAAACTAAACATAAATATTAGTGGTCTGTTTAAATCTAAAAACGAAAAATCAATAAAAAAATAGAAAGTATATGCATAGTTGTTTAGTCTTTTATTTGCCCTAGATAGTACTCTGGAATTTATATGCATATCTTGCTTAAACTCAAGAAACACAGAGCATAACAGGATTATAACCAGAAATATATTTTACAAATTGATTTATAACTGAAGTTGAACCTGACTAAAAAGTTACTATGATGTACAATTGCTGGTCTGAGTGAATTCTTTTTCTCTTAATATGCAACAGAGGCACTTGGATCTCAATATGCAACATGGGCACTTTGGATCCTCTGGATCCTCTTTCCTAAGTAAAAAAAGATCTGGAAGGCCAGGCACAGTGGCTCACACCTGTAATCCCAGCACTTTTGGAGGCAGAGGCGGGTGGATCATAAGGTCAGGAGTTCAAGACCAGCCTGGCCAAGATGGTGAAACCCCATCTCTACTAAAAATACAAAAATTAGCCGGCATGGTGGCAGACACCGATAATCCCAGCTACTCAGGAGGTTGAGACAGGGAATCGCTTGAACACGGTGGGCGAAGGCTGTAGTGAGCCAAGACCACACCACTGTACTCCAGCCTGGGCAACAGAATGAGACTCTTCTCAAAAAAAAAAAAAAAAAAAGACACGGAAATAGTATGATGATTATAATAATTACAGATAAAACAATGTCAACATACTTTCAATACAGTTTATGACAATACAACTGTCAAATTATTTCTGAGTTGACCTAAAAAGATTATACAAATACCAGACTAAAAACTCATTCTCCTTTTTATTTCTGTCTTTCAAATCATTAAATAGTAAGTTCCTTTAGTTTCGTTTATTTCTCCCAGTTCCAGTTGAAGACAATTTATATTACTAGAACTCAAAAGTATTGAGCCTAAACATTTCTTGGGTCGTTCTGGTCATCTGTCAATTAGATATCTATGCCAACTACAGGTTTCAGAACACTGTTATATTTTACACTGATAAAATGTCATCAACCAACCAAAATCTCTTACCTTGGCTACTTGTGTTACTGCACTAGCTGCTAATGCTGCATTTGCAATATCTTCCAGTTTACTTCTTGAAATAGCAGAAATAAAATTTAAATAATATGATTCATATAGTTGATTTCGAAGATCCTATCAATACAATGAAAACTTCATTCTTACAGGATAGTATAAAGAAGACCATGAATACATATGTTTCAAATATTATAAGAACAAAGTTACATTTAAAAGACAGGATTTTTAAATGACAATCAAAAAACGCATCCCAAGAGAAAAAAGCTTTGAAGAAGTATTGGCTATCTGGTTATCAGATGTAACTAAAATGTATCTTAATAAAGTTATAAAATTATAATTATATTATCAACAAAATCTCATTAATTACAATATAGTACAAAACTGCTTTAATACAGCATATCTGCAGTCTTCTTAAAATATCCAGATATGGCTCACTAATATGGTAAAACACTTGTTATATTTGGCAGACATGACCTTCAACTGTTTTGTGATGTGATGACCCAACAAATCCTTCATTGCATACAAATTATAATTCCAATTACCAATCCTAAAAGTATTTCTTCTCAACTGCTCAAAAGTAGTGCAATTTAAGTTATGCAAATTATTGAGTCAAATTTACTTATCTTCTTATACTTTTAGCAAATATATATCAAAATAACTGTATTTCCTCAAATCTAAGATGTCACCGACTGTAACAGGCACCATCACTTTATGTAACACTAAGAATTAATGATGCCAATACAATTTTGTGACATATGGATCAATTTTAAGATGTACCTAATTTCAGAGATGTTAAAATGTGAAAAACTGAGGGGTTGTAGCCTTTGTGAGGAAGGTGGTAAGAGTTGTGGTTCAATCAAGGGCAAGAGATTATGCATACGGATTGAGAAACAAGTAATATGTTCAGGATACTGGGAACCATGTTTCTCACTCTGAGAAAGGAGTTACAAAATTTGTAAAGAGAAAAGGGAAATGCTAGAGTGAGTCCTGTGTTAAAGCTGAAATAGTTTTGGAGGTTATCTATTTATTTGGATAGGTGGGGAGAAGACAGGGAGAAATGTAGAAATAAATATAGACATAAAAGTGTATGTACAAATACATACATATGTTTCCTAGCTTTTCCCATTGAGAGGACCTAAGAAGACTGACACTCGAGTCACAATGAGTGTACCTAATGCCCAGATTCTGATTCCTAAATACCATTCTTTACAGGAAGCAACCAGGGCTCCTTAGACAAATGTCTGAATCCTGGACTGGGACAGAGAAAGTAAAATACTAGGCTACATTGGAACATCTTATTGTGCCAGAAAGTAAGAAAGTTGTTAAGGAATGATGCATACATTTCAAAAGGACACATAAGTTCAGCAAGGTTGCAGGATACAAGATAAATATATAAAAATCAATTGAATTTTCACACAATTGCAATGAATAATCCTAAAAATGGAATTAAGAATTCCATTCATAATAGCATTAAACACAAAAAAGAATAAATTTAACAAAAGAAGCACAAAACTTATGACAAGTTAATCTTAAATTTACTTGTAAATTCAAGGTACCCAGAAAGACAAAACAATCTGAAAAAAGAAGTACAAAGTTGGAGGACTCATTTTCTCAATTTCAAAACTTGCTATCAAGCAAGAGAAATTAAAGCTGTGTGGTACAGGCATAAGGACAGACATAGATATCAATGCAATAGAACTAGAGGAGCAAGGTTAAAAAACCTCAAAAGCTAGCACACAAGAAATAACTAAGATCAGAGCAGAATCAAAGAGATAGAGACAAAAAAAATCCTTCAAAAAAAAAAATCAGTAAATCCAACAAAATAGACAGACAGCTAGCCAGATTAATAAAAAAGAAAAGAGAGAAGAATCAAATAGATGCAATAAAAAAATGATAAAGGGGATATCACCACCGATTCCACAGAAATACAAACTACCATCAGAGATTACTACAAACAACTCTATGCACATAAACCAGTAAACCTGGAAGAAATGGATAAATTCCTGGATACTTGCACCCTCCCAAGCCCAAACCAGGAAGAAGCTGAAACCCTGAATAAACCAATAACAAGGGCTGAAGTTCAAAAAAAGCGTAGGTCCAGATGGGTTCACAGGAGAATTCTACCAGATGTACAAAGAGGAGCTGGTAGCACTCCTTCTGAAACTATTCCAAACAATACAAAAAGAGAATCCTTCCCAACTCATTTTATGAGACCAACATCATCCTGATACCAAAACCTGGCAGAGACTCAACAAGAAAAGAAAACATCAGGCCAATATCCATATTGAACATCGATGCAAAAATCTTCAACAAAATACTGGCAAACCAATTCCAACAGTACATTAAAAAGCTTATCCATCACGATCAAGTAGGCTTCATCCTGGGGATGATGCAAGGCTGGTCCAACATACTCAAGTCTATAAACGTAATCCACCACATAAGAGAACCAAAGACAAAAACCCATGATTATCTCAACAGATGCAGAGAAGGCCTTCAACAAAATTCATCAGCCCTTCATGCTAAAAACTCTCAATAAACTAGGTAGAGATGGAACATATCTCAAAACAATAAAAGCCATTTACGACAAACCTACAGCCAATATCATAGTGAATGGGCAAAACCTGGAAGCATTCCCTTTGAAATCTGGCACTAGACAAGGATGCCCTCTCTCGCCACTCCTATTCAGTATAGTATTGGAAGTTCTAGCAACAGCAATTAGGCAAGAAAAAGAAATAAAGGGTATTCAATTAGGAAAGGAGGAAGTCAAACTGTCTCTATTTGCAGATGACATGATTGTATATTTAGAAGACCCCATTGTGTCAGCCCAAAATCTCCTGAAACTGATAAGCAACTTCAGCAAAGTCTCAGGATACAAAATCAATGTGCAAAAATCACAAGCATTCCTATACACCAATAACAGACTAAAAGAGAGCCAAATCAAGAATGAACTGCCATTCACAATTGCTACAAAGAGAATAAAATACCTAGGAATACAACTAACAAAGGATGTGAAGGACCTGTTCAAGGAGAACTACAAACCACTGCTCAAGGAAATAAGAGAGGACACAAACAGATGGAAAAACATTCCATGCTCATGGTTAGGAAGAATCAATATTGTGAAAATGGCCATACTGCCCAAAGTAATTTATAGATTCAATGCTATCCCCATCAAGCTAACTATGACCCCCCTCAAAGAACTGGAAAAATCCACCTTAAACTTCATATGGAACCAAAAGAGAGCCTGCATAGCCAAGACAATTCTAAGCAAAAAGAACAAAGCTGGAGGCATCACGCTACCTGACTTAAAACTATACTATAAGGCTAAACTAATCAAAACAGCATGGTACTGGTATCAAAGCAGTGACATAGACCAATTGAACAGAACAGAGGCCTTGTAGGCAACGCCACACATCTATAACCATCTGATCTTTGAGAAGCCTGACAAAAACAAGCAATGGGGAAAGGATTCCCTGTTTAATAAATGGTGCTGGGAAAACTGGCTAGCCATGTGCAGAAGGCAGAAACTGGACCCCTTCCTGACACCTTACACTAAAATTAACTACAGATGGATTAAAGACTTAAACATAAGACCTAACACCATAAAAACCCTAGAAGAAAACCTAGGCAAAACCATTCAGGACATAGGCATAGGCAAGGACTTCATGACTAAAATACCAAAAGCTTTAGCGACAAAAGCCAAAATAGACAAATGGGACCTAATTAAACTCCAGAGCTTCTGTACAGCAAAAGAAAAAATCATTAGAGTGAACTGGCAACCAACACAATGGGAAAAAATTTTTGCAATCTACCAATCTGATGAAGGGCTAATATCCAGAATCTACAAAGAACTGAAAGAGATTTACAGGAAACAAACAAACAAACCCATTCAAAAGTGGGTGAAGGATATGAACAGACACTTTTCAAAAGAAGACATTTATGAGGCCAACAAACATATGAAAAAATGTTCATCATCACTGGTCATTAGAGAAATGCAAATCAAAACCACATTGAGATACCATCTCACACCAGTTAGAATGGCGATCATTAAAACATCTGGAGACAGATGCTGGAGAGGATGTGGAGAAATAGGAATACTTTTACACTGTTGGTGGGAGTGCAAATTAGTTCAACCATGGTGGAAGACAGTGTGGCAATTCCTCAAGGACCTAGAAATAGAAATTCCATTTGACCCAGCAATCCCATTACTGCGTATATATCCAAAGGATTATATATTGTTCTATTATAAAGACACATGCACATGTATGTTCACTATGGCACTGTTTACAACAGCAAAGACTTGGAACCAACCCAAATGCCCATCGATGATAGAGTGGATAAGGAAAATGTGGCACATATACACCATGGAATACTATGCAGCCATAGAAAACAATGAGTTAAGCGTCCTTTGTAGGGACATGGATGAATCTGGAAACCACCATTCTCAGCAAACTGACACAAGAACAGAAAATCAAACAGCACATGTTCTCACTCATAGGTGGGTGTTGAACAATGAGAACACATGGACACATGGAGGGAAGCATCACACACTGGGGTCTGTTGGGGAGGTACAGGGGAGGGACAGCAGGGACTAGGGAGGTTGGGGAGGGAATACATAGGGAGAAATGCCAAATATAGGTGATGGGGGGATGGAGACAGCAAACTACATTGCCATATATGTACCTATGCAACAATCCTACATGTTCTGCACGTGTACCCCAGAACCTAAAGTGCAATAAAATATTTAAGAAAACAAAAAACAATGAATCATACACTTGTACTCCTTAAATGAGTGAAATGTATGGTATGTGAAGTATAATTTCAATAAAGGTGTTATTAAAAAAAGAAGAAGAGATTATAAGTGGTACCTCTTTCATAATGAGCATACATGAGTTTAAGTAGGGTAAAAGAGAAAACTAGGCATCATAAAGCTACACAGGACATAAAATTGGCAAACTTCACTAACAACGTAAATGGCAATTTGATTCAACAGTCAATAACAAAGATACTGTGACTTGTGGAAGACACTGTTACCTACCTATCCAATTACCTATTTTTCTCCTTTTCTTTGCTAAAAGAATCTTGCTAGATTCTCTTTGGGTTGACAATATACTCATCTAAATATTGACTTTTGCAGCTAACCTTGTAGCTAATTCTACCCAGAATAAAGGAAGAAACTTCTGGGAGTTTCTGAAAAGGCTTAGCTTTCCTGATCAAGATCAACAGTCAGGGCTGGCACAGTCCATTTCCCTCCTCTTCTTGCTGTGAACATAGATTTGATGCCTACAGGTGCAGCAACAAGCAAGACAAAGAAAACCAACAAACTAAAGGTGAGTATCAGTGATAAAAGCAGCCTGGGTCTTTGATTACCTTATAGTGCTTCTGCACCAGCGTGGACTTCCTACTCCCACCCTTGCTATTATTTCAGAAAATGAAAACCCTATATAAGTTAGAAAGGCAATATAGTTAGGCTTTCTGTTTTTTAAAGCCAGATTCAGTCTTTACCTGTATGGTAATCCCCCTTATCTGCAGGGGTTATTTTCCAAGACCCAAGTGGATGCCTGAAACCAGGCAGTACTGAACCCTGTATGTTTTTTCCTATACATACATACGTATAATAAAACTTAATTTATAATTTATAAATCGGGCACAGTAACAGATTAGCAACAATAGCTAGAAATAAAATACAGCAATTATAACAACATATTCTGTAATAAAAGTTATGTGAACATGGTTTCTCTCAAAATAGTGTAATATTTTCACTACTGTAATATATTCAGTACCTGGTTGACCATGAGTTACTAAAACTGTGGAAAGTGAAACTGTAGATATGGGAGGACTACTGTATAATACTTCTTCAGCCAAAAGTTTTAAGTCTTTCAGGCTGTTTAAAATCCAAAGATAGCCTCAAAAATCAGAGTGAGAAAGTAAGCATGGGAATTTCTGATTTTTCACCATGGGCATGTAGGAATTTTTTTTTTTTAAATCTGTTTCAAAATTCAGGAGTCCAGAAAGTAAGAACCCATATTACCTGGCACATTCTATCAATATTTTCTTCAGTTGGCATTACAAAGTATACTGCAGGAACATCTGGAATAGGATCTCGATCAGAGTGCAAAAGCCTAGAAGACATAAGGAATTAAAACTTATTTTTTCTCAGTCACTTATCTAAAAATATAGTTTAAAACAATATTTCCAATATTTCTCAAAATAGGAGTTCACTAGCTTAAGGACAGTAACGAGTGTTCAAAAAGTTCTTGTTGCAATTAATCAGTGAGTTAACCTAGCTTTCTCCCATGTCAGTGTTGATATTATTTATTAGTATTAATAAGACCCTAATTTCTTGTTAGTCTTCATTTGTTCTATTCTGCTCACACTTTTAGTATCACTTATGGTCAGACAATCCTTTCTACCAACATTCTCCTTGAATGAGAACTAAAACATATTCAAAATCAACCCTATTCCCACTTTTCACAGAAATATGGTGGTGGTCAGAAGGGAAGAGTGAGTGTGAGGAAGGTGTGTCTCTCTGAGGGGAAAATTAGAAAGCTGGGGGATGCAATGAAAAAAATTTTAGAAGCAATTTTTCAGCATTTATAAAAAAATTTTAACTAAACATGAAATCAAATATATTTTTAAAATAAAAGGTATATAAATGTCTCCTTAAAACTTAAAGACAATCTATTATTGCCTATTTATTATTTCGAAAGAGAATGTAAGCATCTTACAGATTAAGTTACTTGACGGTTTTCTCCTTTTACAATTTAGGAACAATTTCCATGCAAATAACCCAACATCAAACCACGCTTACATGAGGAATATTCACCTCTCTCTAGTCATTCCTCTATAATCAAGGAGAGAAAGGAAAGAGGTACATGCTGCCAGTGGGCCTATATTTAATAACTGCTGCCACTGACACCAAGAAGGATAATGTGATGGCTGCAATAGGTTGTTTCTTTTTTACACTGCTTGTCCAACTACCTAAAGGGCTACAACCACCATTTCATATTCTGGAAACTTGAAATTACTGTTTCCTACAAATTAGCCTCAGCTTGCAGAGTATAAAGTAATGATACAGTATTCTCCAGCAAATAGAGAAGAATGGTTGGAGGCAAAGTACACAAGAGCACACCATGGTAACTGTGTAATATTTCCATGCTCTGGTGGCAAAGTAGCAAGTTAGGCAGAGATTACTAGACTCTCAAACTGGTAGACTATTCTGTCACCCCTTAATGAAGTACTGAGTTAGGCCTCACTTCTGTTAGTTACTGTTACTGAGCCACTACAGTTCAGTAGACAAACAGCACAGAATTAGAGGTCAAGCAATGTGTCCATGGCTCTGTTATTAACTGGTTGTACAAAGGTGAGGCATTCACTTAAGCCTTCTAAACTCTACTCTCTCCATTAGTAAATTAAAAAGTTAAACACTTGTTATAGGGACAATGGCACCCAATGCTTATTAATAAACTACAATTTCCAAGGATGGCATCAAATTAAACTTTACTTCAGTCCATAAGAATTAACACATTATCAAAGCAAATCTGCGTATTTCAGTCTGACACAAAAATGAAAGGAGAAACTCATCAAATATCATATTTCATGAAACCCAAGGTGGTAATAATTTTAAAATATATTTAATTACTACTGAGAAATAAAAACATTGCCAGTTATGACATATTATCAGTGATAAGACAGGTCCTAATTTCAGAAATATAAAAAAGGACATTTGGAATTGACACAATAGTCTACTTATTTTAATAAACACTAATTATACAACTGAAGAATTTGAGTTCATCAAACCAGGTTCTGGTAAGCTACTTACTGAAAATCTAAAACCATATTCCCAATAAGAGTACATTTCAATTCAATATATGATAATATCATAAAAATTCGTTATAACATCATAAATAGAACAAAAGGCAAATAGGTGAGAACACCATAAAATTGGATTCTTTTAGAATACAGAGGTATTAGTATCCATCCATGAACACAGTCCTTCTCCAAATGTTCTTTTTTTTGAGACAGAATCTGGCTCTGTTGCCAAGGCTGGAGTGTAGTGTCACAATCTCGGCTCACTACAACCTCTGCCTCCTGGGTTCAAGCAGTTTACCTGCCTTAGCCTCCCAAGTAGCTGGGATTATAGGTGGGTACGCCACCATGCCTGGCTAATTTTTAGTAGACACAGGGTTTCACCATGTTGACTAGGCTGGTCTCAAACTCCTGACCTCAAGTGATCCACACACCCCGGCCTCCAAAAGTGCTGGGATTACAGGTATGAGCCACCGCGCCTGGCCTCTTCTTCAAATGTTCTAATAGGCAAGTCCATAAAGTATGGCAATTTGATTTTTGTTAAACATATCAGAAGCAATATAATCAAATAAACTTAACAGTTAGGACAACATAGATAGCCTCCTCTGGTGATTAACAGTCATTACTTCATAGTCACTTAAATTTTTCATATGAATGATTAATTAGATATTCCTTTTTTAAAAAAAAGTATAGACAGTCCCTGACTTATAATGGTTCAATTTAGGATTTTTTGACTTTATGATGGTGTAAAAGCAGTATATATTCAGTAGAAATCATACCTCAAGCACCTATGCAAACATTCTGTTTTCAACTCTCAGCATTGTAGTCAATAAATTACATGAGATGCTCAACTGTTTATTATAAAAGAGGCTCTGTGTTAAATGACTTTGTCCAACTGTAGGCTAATTCAAGTGTTCAGAGCATGCTGAAGGTAGGTGAGGCTAAGCTATGATGTTTGGTAAGTTAGGTGTATTAAATGCATTTTTTGACTTACAAAATTTTCAACTTATGATGGGTTGATAGGTATGTAACCCCATTATAGGTCAAGAAGAATCTGTGTATTTAAATTAAAGGGACAAAACACTTTTAGAGCTGGAAGAGGCCTTAAGACTACCAGTTCTATTCTTTTACACACAAGGTAAACCAAGTCTGTAGGAAAAGACCCAAGGGAGAAAATTTAAATTCTGAAATTTAAATTTGAGGATACTTTTTAAATCTCAGAAATAAGGAACTGAATAAAAGAAAATATGAGGAAAAATGTTCAACACTATATAAACACTGTAACCTCACACTATTTTTCTCTATAAATGTTCTTTAATAATTTGATTTCAGGGTGGCCAAAGAAATCTTTAATAATGTTATTTGAAAATGAATGCCACTATTAGAAATATGTAAAAACTCACAGATGCAGAGTGATTCCCATGTCTCTTAGCTCCTTCACAGATAGCAGAGGAGAGATTATATCTTGGCCAAATCTGTCATAAATGAGTACCTATTAAAAAACCATGTGTCATCATTATCAGTGACTAATAGTGAACCCATATTAAGACAATGTCGAAGTAATTTTTATTTTAATAAAGCATATATACAGAAATATTATCCTTGCCTCAGTTTAATATTTTCCATCATTATTCACCCAAATGTCCATCCAGGCAGTAATACATTCTTAAAGCATTACTACTCAGGATAAAATAAACAAATAAATACATAAATTTCTTCTTATAAAATTCTTTATCTAGGTTAAAAAAATAGAGACTATAAAATCCTTATCTTAAGCTATAATAAACAACTTTGAACTGAAAGCAAATTCACATTCACACCCTTACTTTTTTTTCCAGTTCACATATATCTTTCCTAAAAACAGAGATGTAAAAGTTAGCCACTTTCAAAACTAATATGTAACAAGTTCCATGACTATAATAAAAAATTTTGTAATTTAAGCATCTCAGGTTCAAAAGATACTCATTTAAAAAAATTAAGTCTCTGGCCAGGCATGGTGGCTCACGCCTATAATCCAAGCACTTTGGGAAACCAAGTTGGGTGGATCCACAAGGTCAAGAAATTGAGACCATCCTGGCCAACATGATGAAACCCCATCTCACTAAAAAATACAAAAATTAGCTGGGTGTGATTGGGCGCTTGTAGTTCCAGCTATTCGGGAGGCTGAGGCAGGAGAATCACTTGAACCTAGGAGGCAGAAGTTGCAGTGAGCTGAGACCATGCCATTGCACTCCAGCCTGGAGACAGAGCGAGGTTTCATCTCATTTAAAAAAAAAAAAAAAATTAAGCCCCTAAAGAGTATTTGATAGTCTTATTCTATCAAATATACTTCCTCACTTTCTCAAAGTATTAAAACAGACAGCTTTGAGGAACGGTAAGAACTCCAACTAGGCTTTTAAATTCAAAATTAGTTTCACAGTTAAGGCAAGTAAAAGAGATGCTCAACTGGTGTTTTTCAGAACTACCTTCATTAATTCTTTATGGAGTAAGAAATTGCTGATGAGAGAATTAAATATGCTGTTATGAAAACATGTTTTTCTTGAATGCCAGGCTTTCCTTTAGAGAGGCTAAAAATCTAATTTTTAGTTATAAAAGGTTGATGTTGCATCTTTCAAAAATCTTCCCTCTTTTAATCTCAATACATGTGTATTATTAATCTTATGATATAAAAAGCTATGGGTAGGAAAAGTATTTGACAAAAATTTGTACCCAGGAAATTCTCAAACTATTTCAATCAAATCCCAATGTTGGCCTTAGAAACAAACAAGTATAGTTTACATAAAAGGCAACAGGAAGATGCTCACAAAAGAACAGAAAGGAGAAAACCAGGGGACACTCTGGAGCTTAAACTATGAATTCAACACAGACAACTTAACTACTTTTAGAGTTAACCCAAAGGACTAAGACTGAATAGAGTTTTCAAAACACCCTAACTTCTAAACAAGTTGATTTGTTCTTAATTTTTAGCGAGAGAAATATAAAGTAACTGTGAACCAGTAAGTTTAAACCTAATCAACTGTATCATAATATCTGAAGAAAGAGATGGAATCTGCATAAAGTTTAAAATGAAGAAGGCTAACGATAGGAATTTTTAAAGGCTCTCCAGTAGTTCTCAGAGGTAAAGATTGTAGATTGCTTTCTGGTTCAATTAACAGTTTTATATCTCATAAATAAACTGGTATTACAGTTTACAGATCATACTCTCATGAGATTTTTATAATAATAATAATCCAGGCCCTCTGAATCTGACTAACCCCAAGTAAGCTTATAAAATCCAAAGTCTGGAATTGAAAAGCTAAGGAACAAAACATCAACCAGGGTAAAGACCTATCAGTGAGATAGTACCCAAGAGATCAACTGGACTCCCTAGATGAAAATCACTATTTTATCACCAGTCTCACTCCACAGAATGTTTGTCAAAAAGATTCATATTAAGACATCATGTTAAATAAAAAGAAAACATTCATAATAGGTGTTACTTCTTCCATATTACAATAATTTCCCTTTAATTACCACCAGTGAGGGCTGAGAAAAACAGAAATCAGTTCCCATTAAGATAAATTCTTACCTTCCATACTGGTTCTCCTGTGCTGTTTTTAACATGAGGCACATTGAAATTCAACATACGCTTCAAAGCCACTGAAAATAAAAAGTTTTATCAAATATTGTCACTGTTTTTTAGGATTTTATTTTCCCTCCATCATTTATTATTTACTACTCCAAAATAAAATACATTAATCAACTCTAGTAAAATTGATTAACCAAATGACTGTATGTAGAACTAGGGGTCAGATCCTGCAAGACTATTCCATCATGCTAACTGGCATGTATTTGGGAGATTTCCCAAAATACAGTAAGTATCTGTCCCCAATGAAATTGTGGGAAATGTTCAGGAAGAAACTGCAATAGCCGCAATATATTGAGGCTATTGTCTGTTTATTGTCAGGCTGAAAGCATAGATCAGGGTCAATCCTTTTTTTTTTCAGTTGGAGGGGTCCAGTGAGAAGAATCAGTCTTTCTAAAAACAAAATTATCCATGGCATATTCAACTGGTTCATATACAAAACCTTCATACAGCAGATTTGTCTATAGTCATGTAAGAGCATATTTTACAACCAATTTATCCTGTCAGATTCACTGAAAAGTTGCTTAAAATTCTGTCCCTTATAAAACAGACTTTCCCATATAGTAGATAACTGATAACTCCAGCTAAGCAAATACACAACATCAAAAATCACAGTTATGCTATTATAGTATTTTGTGGTTTTTATTGCTCATCTGTAACAGTGTTACAGAAAATGAAAATCCCTTAATATACTTCTTTGTGAAACCGAGATGGCCAAATATTCAACAGTTATACTCTCTTAATTTTTATAAAATTGGGAGTCTTAAAATCCACTTGGTTATTAAAAACATTTGCATCAGGCTTTAAGTAATATAGAATAACCTATACTCCAAACTCCTACGAGAGAACTATATAATACTAAAATCCCGAGTATCAACTTATAGCCTAATTATTCACTCACAAGAAAAACTTCTATTAAATGCTTGTTTGCTAAGGTAGGTCTAATGCTGTTAAAACCACTATCACTGAAGAGATTGTACTTTAGTGATACATTTGCATACTTATGGGTGTGTACATAATGTTGTGCTGAACCCCTATTGTCTCCAAGAGGGATGTTACCATGTTTGAGAGGCCTAAGAGACCCGGAGCCAGGAAAGGAGACATGGGATTTTACTGGGGGCAACACATAGGAGAGAGAGTCCAGTGTTAGTGGGCTGGAAAGGAGAAGTGTATGCTCAGTAGCGATGTGCTGGGCTGGAGAACCACAGTCGCGTGCAAAAAGCGGTTTATATGGCAAAAATGTGGTTTATACAGCATTTTCACTTAACAGTTCCATAACAACCTCCACCTGGCAACCTTCATTCAACCCAAAAGTCAGGGCCTTGATTCACTGCATTGCCTATGTTTCACTGGATGGGCTGGGGGCTCAGATGTTCCTCATAGACAAGGAATGAATCTCCAGGTGGGCTATTCTCTGATTCCCTAGCTTGGAACACATATCCAGGTGTGTATGCAATACAGGGTCAGTCTCAGGGCATGCTTAAGTTATTGCTATCAGGTGTGTTTACCATACACCTATAGGCATAATTTTTGGTAAAATGTTGTTAACTAACATCCAGCCAATAATATACATTACCAGTAATTAATACCTACTTCAGAGGTCCACAGGTGTTATATTAAATAAAATGTATTTTATTTATTTATATTACAACATCAAATATATTTAATATAATCTAAACAAAAAAAAAGTTTAATACTTAAAACTGAAATAACATAGGAGGCATGGAAGGGGTTCCAGGATTAACTTTCCAATTGTGCATTTGCAGAGCTCTTCCTCCCACCTCCAGGCAATAAAGAAACACCACCCTAGTACTGATGCCCAAGAGGGAGGAAACCCTGTTTCTAGGAACAGCTGTTCACACTCTTGATGCCTGATAACTTGGAAGAATGAAAGCCTGGGCTGCCATGTGAGCCTCAGATGTTCTGCATACTGCAGTTAGGCCTTAGCTAACTGAAAGAGGCCAGTAGCAGCAAACAAGATAATCCTACCTTCACCTTCTGAGTCCAATCTGAGATTTTCTCCAACTTTGAACCTTGGCTAACTTCTTAAATCGTATTTTGATGCAGTTCATTTGTTAACGAAGTGCACTGCCTGGGTTCAGGGTTTACAAGAATGTGATTTTACTTTTATCAGAGTTTAACTATCCAAGGCTTAAACCATGACTTTTAACTGAAATGTCAAACCATTTGCCTTCTTGGCTCTAAACATACTACAGGTTGAGCATCCCAACCCCTAATATCTCTAACCTGAAATGCTCCAAAATCAAATATTTTTAAGCTGGTGCTTGGATTGGAATAATGCAAAATCCTAAGCATTTTGGATAAGGGATACTCAACCTGTATCCATATTCCTAGACTTGGTTAATGTAGTTTCACTTTTACCTGGAATGTTTTCTTCACTCATGCACTGAACAAATACTGTCAACTACGCTTACTATTCCATTCATTCAACATGTTTAGTGATTGCTCACCATAGGCACTGTAGTTATTGGGGATCTAGCAACTGAACAAAACGTGAATAAAATTACCCCTTCTCAAGTAGTTTTTATTCTAACTGGGGAATAAAGAAAAAAAAAGTAAAACATACGGTATGTAGATGATCGTTAAGTACTATGAAGAAGGTAAGATTGGGAAAGGGGAAGATGGAGTTGGGGTGTAATTTTAAACAGGGTAATCAAGGAAGGCCTCCTGAGAAGGTAACATTTGAGTAAAGAGCTAAAGGAAGTGAGGGAGCAAGCCATGGAGATTCTCTCTGAAGCAGTATTTCAGAAAGAAGAAACAAATACAAAGGCTTGAAGGTGGGAACATTCCTAGTGGGTTCAAGGAAAGGGAAAGGTAATAAGGAGTGAGGTCCAAAAGCTATATGAGAACCAGATTGTAGAAGGCCTTGAAGAAGGCTGTAAGACCACTTTGGTTTTTATCATGGTTGAAATGGGAAGATGACAGAAGATTTTGAGCAAACATATGGCATGATCAGTTTGTGGAAAATAATTAAGGAAAACAGGATTGGAAAGCAAGAAGACCAAATAGGTTACTGCAGAAATTCACAGTGGATAGGACCCAGGGATAACAATGACAACAGTTAGTTCCTGGATATATTTTCAGAGTAGAACTGACAAGATTTACTGAAGATCTGACATGAGCTATATGAAAGAGACAAGTCAAGAAAACGTCAAGGTTTTTGACCTGAACAACTGTAAGGATGGAATTGCCATTGACTGATATGGAATAGACTGAGATCAGATGGGAGGGTCAGACTAGGGATATAAACTTGGGAATCACCAACATACAGATAATACTGAAAGCTAAGGAGCTAGATGCTAACACTACTGGGACCTTGCAATGGGTGGCGAGTTGGGGGGGGCGGGGGCAGAGAAGGTGAGCAAGAACCTATAATGAGGAGGCATTTAATGAAGAACAACGGCAACACAAAGCAGGAAACAACTGTTTCTGCCTGTTGAACTGAAGGTATGGATAGAGAAGGCAGTGAACCAGAAAGAAAGGAGATGGCTTGTGGGATGACCTTCAAAAGATCAATAAAGATTCTTCAGGCAGTCAAAGCAAGAAACAGGCATGTTAGTTTACCTCTATCATACTTTCCTCACCTGTAAAATGGAGATAATAATACATAATCACCTAAAACAATGCCTAAAAATAGTAAATGCTCAATAAATACCAACTATTATCTCATCCACCCAAATATTCTGGTACCTAGAATATTTGAGGATTGAGTTACTTCCCAAAACATTCTCAATGTGCATGAGGAAAATAGTTAATTCTGCATTATAATACATATACAAGGATTTACCTTCCTCTGAAAATGAGACAGAATTCAATGACAGTAAAAATTTGATTAAAAACAAACAGATCTAGCACAATTTATCTAATTATTCTGTAAAATCTTATGTTTATTTCTGCAGAAATACAAACTATTAGATTTTAATGATCTACAAAGTTTCTGCATACGTTTACAGCCATGCAAATTTATTTTTCAAAAAACTCCCTTATATTAGTACAATTTCACTGACACGTTATTTTAATATGTAGTATAGTCATCAGAACCACAGTATTAAGACAAATGGAGCTTCTATTTGCTTACACAGATAAAGTGAATGGCAGGTATTCCCCAAATCTTATTTGAATTTCCCTATATTTAGTTATGCCTGACTTCACCGGATAGGTTATACTGAATTATTTACTGGGAAAAGCAGAAAGTAACTCAATATTCTTTGTGTCATTACTAGGTTGAAGTCTATCATTTTTTCTGTAAATGCCAAAGGAAGGAATCAGGTACAGCCCAAATCCTTTCTGTACGTCATATGAATTATAGTTATTTTCCTATTCATATTTATATCCAAAAGAGCATAGTTTCAGGAAACAGAATTCCAAGTATGCATATTCTTGATGCCTTATTTCTATCAGGTCCTCAATAAATGGCTTGAAAACTTTCAAGACAATTAATTAACAAGCATAAACCTTTAGTTTGTAGCTAACAGGTATAAACCAAGTTGTCATGAGTTTTCAAACAAGGCAAAACTAATTTCTAAGATGGAAACCCCTCTCAAACTCAAGACAGTATGTTCTTTTTTATATTTCTCTACCTAAATGGAAGCTATATAAACACGCTCTATTGAAGACAAATTATTTTGAAACAATAATCTGTCAAACAATTAAAATGAGAAAGCTATTAATTTGTTTTGCCATTCTTCAATTCCTTCCAGCAAGCTGAAGGAGGAAATCTTTATCACCAGGCATTTTTCTGCAGTACCCTCAAAAGATTGTTCCGAAGTAAAGTGGCGCAAAGCAAGCCGCTGTGAAAATACCTAAAATCTGTAATTGTGGTGGAAGTGCCAGAAAATGGGAGTTCTCTCAAAAATCAAAACCAGAACTGAACCACGCACAGAAACCAACGCGGAGACCTTATAGGTGGCAACATAGGTAAGAAGGTATCAGCTGCTAGATCTTGTGACGGCCTTCGGATGCCCACCAGGAAAAAGACAAAACCCGGGCCGTATCCACCGCACACCGCTGAAGCTCCTTTTCCTGCACCACAGGAGGAACCGAGTCCTCAAACTAATGGCATCTTCTCCCCAGAAACTCGAAGGGGAGGAGCTCTTGATGTTCTAGGGACTGGATTAAACTCTGAGAGATCGGTCTCTGAGCTGCACGCACCACGACCGAGTGAGGGCGACAAGCAGAAAAGGATGTCGTCGTGGCAGTCACGAAGCTTCAAGGGGAAGAGAATAATTCAGTACCTGTCTGCCTTTCCCGAATACTCGCTGAGGCCGCCGCCGCCGCCGCCATCTTGGCTCCCAGGAGCGACTGCCCGGCAAGCTTGCGGAGCCGGGGGATGACGTGGCTGCCCTTACCGACCCGGAAGCAAAGCTCGGAGAGGCGGGGCCAAAGGCGGGGCCTGAGGGCCAGACCCCACCTCCTCCAGGAAGACCCTCGCTCTCGGTAGAACTGGCAGACCCAGTGCAGGTTAATGCCTCGGTAGCCCTAATATTAGCAGAATACTAAGAATTTTTATCCTATCAAATCAAGCCACACTTTCTCAAATGGTAGCTACATTAAATTGAGCTCTGAGCACTTAAGGAGTGACAATACTCTAGGAGATGAAGACCACAGGACTGAAGTAAATGAAACTCCTGAAACACAGGCAACACGTCAACGTTAGCTCTCGTTTCTCAGTGCAGCAGGAGTCTTCCCTTTGCTTTTTCCGGAGAAACGGAGCATTACTCTAATCTGGCATATTTCTCAATCGCATCTCTTAAAACAAAATGGCATAGCTTTATGGTGGCGTTCTGCTGGCATGGACACGGGGTGCAGGGAAGTACAAAATGAGCAATTAGCATTTTTCCTCTTTCCTTGTAGTAATTGCTAAATCACAAAACATTGCCGTGGGAGGGAAATCAGGCAGTAGTGGGGTGTGTTGCCAAGGCTGGAATGTGCAATCAAGACTCACTGCAGCCTCAAATTCCGAGGCTCAAACGATCCTCCTGCTTCAGCCTCCCAAGTAGCCAGGGACTGCAGGGGCACATCATCAGGCCAGGCTAATGTGCTGGTTTTTTGTTGTTTTGAGACAGTGTATCATTCTGTCACTCAGGCTTAAGTGCTGTGGCAGAATCTCGGCTCACTGTAGCCTCGACCTTCCTAACTGAGAAGATCCTCCCAAGGTAGCCTTCCACATCAGCCTCCCCAGTAGTTGGGACTACAGGCAGGGGCCACCATGCCCGGCCAAATTTTTCATTTTCTGTACAGATGGGGTTTCACCATGTTGTCCTGGCTGGTCTTGTGCTGGCAGCTTAATGTACACTTGAAGCCACGTGATGGCAAAATGTATGGGATAGATGATTTCTAACTTAATCCATACATTTTACTGCATGATAAAAAAGGATACACAATGACAGCTCATTTCCCATATGGTTTCAATAGTTCATTGATGGACACTTCATTATAAAGTTGTGCCAAATTCTGAAATGAAATCAGACTGCCTCAAAAGCTTTTCAAAATTACATAAATGAAGTTAGCCTAACGATTATATAAAAGATTGTTTGTTTTATAGTGTAAAACATTAGCTTTTTTCATTAATAAAAACTTTTATTTTTGTGTCATTTAAAATAGGTTATCTTATTTTTAACGCTATTAGGAAACGTCCTAGCATTGAACCTACAGTCTTTAAGAATTACATAATCTCTGCCAGGTGCGGTGGCTCACACCTGTAATACCAGCACTTTGGGAGGTGGAGGCAGGCAGATCACCTGAGGTCAGGGGTTCAAGACCAGCATGGAAAATTAGCCGAGCATGGTGGCAGGCTCCTGTAATCCCAGCTACTGGCAACTCCTTAAGCCCGGGAGCTGGAGGTTGCAGTGAGCTGAGATTGCAACACTGCACTCCAGCCTGGGTGACAGAGCAAGATTCTGTCTAAAAAAATAATTATGTAATCTCTCATTTTTATAACCGGCATATTCATTAAGAAATGAACTGGAATACTTGTGTTTCTCCAGTACTGTTACTAATATTTTGAAGGAATCAATGATCTAGGTGTGTTCCAACTAAACAGAAATTAATTTCTGCTCTATGGAAAAGTTCTACTGCATTATATAGTCTCCATGAAATATAAAGTATCTGAGAACCCAATTTAGCTCATTTGGGTACTTCCAGTTTCAAATGCAAATCCATCATTGAACCACTTCAGTTCCATCACAGATTCCCTCCCAAGACTATAAGTCATATTAAAACCACTAAGACAATTTTAAAATTGATGTATACTACATGCATATGAAATGATAAAAACTCCTGACCTAGTGCATAGAGTGTGGGCAGTAAATTTACAGAAAAATATACCCCACAGAAGAACAGTAACCGTAGACAAATAGCCCTTGTAAGGCCAAGACTGGGTAAGGTATTTTTGTTTTATTAGAATCAGAAAGACTGAAAATAATCTATAGCTACAGATTGTTCATTAACCTAATTTATTATAGCCATTTATCTGACTCCAGATTTTCAGCTTAAATAATTTATTCTGGCAAGCTATTTTACATTAGGGGATAGTTTTAACACAAATTCCCTCATTTCTATAGGTTCCTGGGTGTTCTATAGGTAACTGTTTGCTAACAAGATCTCTCAAATGTGGAGTAAAGGAATCTTGTATCTTTCAGTTTCGTCAAAATCTTAATCTTGTTAAATCCCAACAAATAACTTAGTTTATACAGGCAGTTTATCTTTAGTGGCATAAACACGTTTATTTATTTAGAAAACTTTGTTATAAATCTCATGCTTTTTGGTTAATCTGGCAGTCTTTAAAAAGGGGAGAAAACACGCTGATATATAAACTATCACCCAGCATACCTGGCATACTGTAGGTACAGTGTAGGTATTGGGATATGTTTAGAAATTAGAAAAGAAAATGGTCAAAATCAGAACATGAAAACTGAATCTCTTCAAGGCAATCCAAATTTTCCTAAACGACAGACAACCTACATTCAAGTAATTAATCATTAAATGTGTTACGTTTTGCATTGCCTTACTTGAAGCATGAAAGTGTATTGCATTACTTGACCCATAAAAACTAGTTTAATAGCTTATTGTAAAAGTAACAGTGCAGTACATGATAATCACTATATAAAATAATTACATGCTTATAATATAATGATTTTGTTCTGATCATTTTCTTATAATGACTGGGTGCTAAAGGCACAGTCACTGAAAAACACTTACCTATTATATACTCCCCTTCACTTAGTATTTAGCAGTGAATACAAAATAGCTTCCATATAATTAGGGAAAAAAATTTACAAATGCATAAAATACAAACCAAGGTAAATTCTCATGCTGGTAATCAAATGAAGGCTTCTTACTTAACCCAAACAAAAGAAGTAACTCCCTCAAATTATAGAAACTAAATACTACAAAGCATAAAATTCTAAGTTTCTGGTGATATATTTTATAGAATCTTTATCTTGAATAGTAGAGAACCGTATAAAAGGTCTAAAAGTTTCCATATTGGAAACTGTTTAAAAACAATGAATATCAAAGTAACTCACCATTAACAGTAGATGCATTACAGGTCAATTTATAGTTTTCTTCAACATTGACAGCAAGAGAAAACAGTCTTAGAACATACAATGTTTAGGCAATTGAAATATTTAAGAAATATATATATACATATTTATAAAGATTTATAGCATAATTCTTTTTTAAAATTTAATGTCAGTAAGAATCACGCACTGGTTATAAAATGAATAAGAAGGGAACAATTATAATACCAACCATATGACAAAATGACACTGCAAAAAATAAATAACCTACAGGTTTCTCTGATGTTCCTTGACCATACAGATTAATCTAAAAATCATAATAATGGAACAACCTTCAAACTAGAAAACATTTTACAAAATAAATATTTATGCTTCACTTTTAAACACCAAGAATCCTATATTATTTACACCATCTTATCGTGAAGGCCCTGTCTACATATAAAATAAATGAGGAATTGAAATACTGTTTTTAATTGTAGCTAAGTACACTGCCTCTCCACCTGCCACCCCACCCCAACGAAGTATGTATGTGTGACTTACGAGTTTTAATTTCTACCCTAGGGGAAAGTAATTAAAACCACAAACCAGAAAATAGCTTTAACTAGGTTTTTTGGTTTGTGTTGATTTTTAAGTGTTATAAAAACTAGATAGATAACAAAATATCTTTCTTATCAATATATTTTGAATAAAAACTGTATGGTGAGTTTGAGGTTTATATTAGCTATTCAAACTCTTTGATAATTGATCCTTCAATTACTATTGATAATCCAAAAGAATTCAACCAAAGACAAAGAAATGCCTTGTTTAATGTTCTTAAATATTTCCAGTTAAAGTAATACTTTAATTTGCTAGTTATGTTAGTGTATAGATTGAAAAAGACATGACGGAACAAGAAAAGTACACTAGGATTATTTAATTTTCCTTTGGTAATAGGAGATGTATTATCTCTATCAAATCTCTTATTTTTCTTAAAAGATATCGATAATTTAATATTTAAGGGTGAGAATATGACAACAGCTGACACCTGCTTTGCATATTAAGAAAAATGTGGTTAATTAAAACATTCTACTTCCCATAATGATTTACCTTTCATAATGATTTACTTTTGTGGAAACTGAGCCATTACTTCATTAATATTTGATAATGGATTAAAGACATCAGACTTTTTTTTTCCAATTTTTTCTTTTGTGGGAGTATAAATATGGGGATATGACTATGGGAATATATATCTTCACATTGTTAGTAGGTAATTTGTTACTTTTAGGTATTCTTTGTCTTTTAGTACCATTATTAAAGTTAAAAAATAAAGGAAACATAAGTAAAGAGTTTATAGAAGGATACACAGAAACACAGGACTTAGATCTTTCAGTGGTGACATTAGAATGGGTTTTTCATTTTGTCCTTTTTACTTTATTTATACATTGCTTATATAACAGATATCATTCAAGAACAATGAAGTTAACAGTATAATGCCATGGTGCCAACTTACCTTAGCATACAATCATCCTGATAATAAATAATGGTCAAATGGCCAAACTTACCAATCCACAGAGATCATTTAAATACCTAAAATGATTATGGATCCAACATACAGAATACCAAACATAAGATAGAGAAAAACAACAACAACAACAACAAAAATTTCCCACTATTAAAGCCAAGGCTTTTAAAGGAGACACACTTTCTTAGGTATTTTCAACTATAAGTTATCAATCCCAAAAGTGTTCAAACTCATGGAATGTCCACAGATTCCAGAAAATTTGTGCAATTCTGCGGTTTTTTTTTTTTTTTTTTTTTAGATGGAGTCTCGCTATATGGCCCAGTCTGGCTGAACACTGCTCGATTCTCCCACCACAGCCTCCCTTGTAACTAGGATTACAGGCACATACCACTGTGCCCAGCTTAATTCTGTTTTTCATATAATACTCCCCACTAGGCATAATCTAACTGCAGTGTGGGTCATCTTAATATAAATCAGTAATCTAATA